TTTATTTAGTGTAATGATTCCTGTGCCATTGCGGATTATGTCTTCTTGCAATATTTATCCTTATGTGAAACGAACTAAAATAAGGAAGAAGCAGAGACAACACTCTTTATCTATTATGTATATTAGGTAATTTATCTATGGATTTATTTTGATTAGGCCAGTGAAATAGATACAAAACATCTATTCATCCAGGATATAAAACGCTTTTTTCTGTATCAAGTACAGGCATATCTGCCATCATACATATTTTGGTATATGGCGGTAAGCAGATAAAAGATAATAAGGGTAGAATGGAGCTAATTTAGAAATAGTTAGATAGCTGGCTGGTAGATAAATTGATAGTCAGCTCCTCATTATATTCGATACATATTTTCTTTTCTTTTCTTTTTACTACGGTCCACCAGAACGTCCACATGAATCCTGAGGAATGCCCTACAAACATCTCTCTGTAAGAACGCGCATATTCACATCTATGGGGGGGGGTTCTTCACCGACATTAAGTCAATTTTTCCTAGCTTTTGATTATAAACCTAGTCCTTGTGAAGTGGGCTCTCGGTAACTACCACAAGTGCAGCCCTCGCACTTGTTTACTCCGATGAAAGCTTCGTATAAAACACAGAGCTCCCCTCCGCCCGCAAGGAAGAGGGCAGACCGATTGCAGCCTTCGCTTAACAGAGGCCAGAGGTGGTTTTGTTTCGTTTCGTTTTAAAAAGATTGCGGGTGGTTTCCTAACCGGACGAGGGGATGGTTATCCTCTCCTTTTTAGAGAAGAAACTCGGGTGTAAGCCGAGTTTGGTGCAGTCGGGTCTGGGTGCTCCACCGCGGCGGTGGTGTGGCGCGCGCTGGGCTTCTGGGCGAGAGAGCGCGCCGCTAGTGTGCAGATAAGAATGCGCTATCACTCTCCCTCTCCCTCTCTCCCCCTCTCCCCCCTCCCTCTCTGGCGCGCGCGCGCACACCCACCGAGGCAAAAACACGCCCAAACAGGATGGCCAGGCAGGCTTCCTTGGTGACACAGGCACGCATATCGCTCTTCGTATTCTTCCCAAATCCGCATCTTGCTGGCGTGAAGGAGCTGCCCTTCGCTCTGATAGGCTGAGCCGGGGGCGCTGGTGCAGTCCCTGGGACTTTGATAAGGCGGGGGAGGGCAGGTTGCTCGGATTGCTTTCGGCGGCGGCGGGCGCTTTTGTGCTTCCGAAAAGCGCATAAATAATTAAAGTTTGACAGGAAGGAGAGACGCAGACCTGGAGCGGCCATAAATGAAATGACGCAGGATCGCTTCTCCAGTCAGCTTTTACGAGAGCTGCCAGACAGTGTCTGTTCACGTTCGCCAGATACGAGGGGCGCCATAACAAAGTTAAGGTCAAGTTAGTGTCTTATCTTGGGTGGCATCAACATGCCGCTCCTTTTTCTCCTGGCGAATCGAGCAAAGCGCAGGAGAGGAACCAGGGCGAGAGAGCCAGCGCGAGGCTCCCCACCCATCCTGAATCCTGGGCGACTCGTCCCCATTTTCCCCGGAGGCTCCTCGGAGCTGTCACTCGCCTCATCTCGGCAGGCTTCCAAGACGGCAAACGGTAACGTCTCTGCAGGATGCTTCCCCAAGCGCTCGTTTGCTTTCTGGGCTGATGCAGCGGATGAGAAAAGGGGGGGGGGACGGGGGGGAGGCAGAGGTGTATTTAATAAGAGGCGGCCGAGTCCCGCAGCGAGTCAACCGCTTCTTCCAACTCCGGGGGTCTGAGCCACCGGGAAGACCCTGGCTGCTGTGGTGGGTTCCTCGCTTTCCCACCACGTAAGTGGCTTTTTGGGCGGCAGAAGAGCGGAAGGCTTTTTGCTCGCTCTCACTCTTATCACCGCCGTCGCCCGCCCTCCTCTTTTCCTATAGCAAATGGTAGCCACGTCCTTGAACTTGGAATGGTGGAAACTAGTTGATGGCTGCTCCAAAAGCGTAAGTCCTTGAGCTTCGGGTTGGTTTGTGTGCTGAGCTGTCGGGGCCCGGATTTTTGGTTGATGGGGTGGGAGGGTGGCTGGTCGAATGAGAAAAGGTCCTGGTGGAATTGTCTGTAAGATCCTGACGCGCTAGTGCGGAGTCTTCGGGGGGGGGG